TATATATATATATGTTTATTATACGTGAGTTAATAACAGATAGGACAAAAGGGGGGGGGGCAGGACGAGAGGGCAGGTGATAGCCTGGACAAAGGGCCGGGGTAGCCTGGAGGCTAAGAGACGACGACGACGACGACCATGACTCCATGAGGCGGCTCCTTTTATACTGAGGTTTCCATTGTGAAATAGTGACGAGGTGCGTCGGCGGAGCTGATGAAACCTCGGTGTCTGTCTCGAGCTGGCGCATGACTCAGCATAGCTGACCCATGACTCGACACACATCTTTCAGGTTTTCCGGGTCTAAGTGGCAGCCTCAACAATCAGACGCTGCTTTGTTGACAAAGCTTAAACCTCCGGGTTCTCTTCAGCATTTGCGTGTATCAAAAATTTTCATGCATTATCCTTTCGTGACTTACTCGTTAGCACCTTCAGTTCCCCAGGAAAGCATTCCCATATAAGCGCCTAGTCTGTTTTCGCTTATACATTCTGTTGAGGCTTGGATTTCTAGAAGGATCCTCAAGAGGTCTACCCTGCAATGCCTCATTAATGACGCCAAGCCCAGACTTTGGAAATGAGGGCCGAGTCATCGACAGCCTAAACAGCTGTCGATGATGATGGCCCTGGCGGGATAAACAAGAGCATTTACCAGGTTTACTTGTTCCTAATTATCCCTTCAGAAATGGGGCCCGCTTTTTGTTAGGTCTTCGGCAAGGCCGTGCTGCGTCTGATAGTTGCCTGAACCGTTCATATTAGTCGAATGTTCGCAGTAGAATCAGTCTGTGGTAAATTGGAGATTATCTCTCGGTAGAGGCTTATCGACCCCCCACCGGACGATTCAATTCCAGTAGGATAGAGCGGACGATCAAGACAGCAGTCGTACTGTAATCCGGCTTCCCCATCGACAATTCCATTCAATGATATCAGCCAACTATTCAATAAAAGAAGCGCAAAGCAGGACAGACAAGGAGCCTGCTCAATCCCCACATGACGTGGAAAACGAGGCACCGATTTCGGCATGCGTGGCTCACACTGTCGTGAAAATCAGGGGCAAACTCAAGTATTTCTCCTGCTCCGCCACCTAGCATTCAGTATCAAAAACCAGGTATTTCCCCTCCTCAGCCACATCCCTATCATACTAAGTAATGCAGCAGTGAAATTGAGAAAGATAAAAAGCAAGGACTCACGCCGATGGTAGCCAATAGGGCTGAACTTGACCTAATGCAAACTAGCGCTCCAGTGGCAAACGCCGGAATCGACCGCGTCGCCGAGCAGTACGCCGCGCGCACGCCCGGACGAGGCGAAGCTGCGTACACTCCCAATCCTATCTTTTTGCTTATTGTGTGAAAGATCTCAGCGTTTTATGAAGTTATCGCAGTCAATAAGATTTTAATGATTGATTTGGAGCGGGTTTGGGTGTTCCGAAATTCGCTTAGACGGTAATGGGCCGCCATTTTTCACCTACCACCTTGCTTGTTTGTTTATGTGTATCTCCGCCCCAAACTCCTTTTGCTAACTTAGTTTCTTTTGGTGACCATACAAGGATATCCTGAAGGAGCCCTTGTACAAAGTCCATATAGATTACGCGAATCAATTATCCCTTTTTCCCTCAACGCTACATCCTTTAGTCTAAGGAGTTCTAGGTTGTGTTAAATGTCGTACCTTTCTTGTCTACATTGGATCAATGGCTTTTGTGTAGTGTCATATGAGTTCTTAAGTGCCAGTCGTTACGATTTTTTGGGTTTTGTAGTGTCACAGTGCTCACGCTTAGTGACGCGAATATGGGACACTCAAGTTTTGTTCATTCCAAGGGCAAGATCAAATCGATCGTGCTATTGAAGTACAAAAAACTTGGATAGGATAGCTGAACCCGTAGAAGATATGTGAGTTAACCAAGGCGGCTGCAGAGATTAAATGCTTGCGATCAGCATTAGGATTCCTTTCACAGGAGTGCTGATTGCTCCCTACACTAAACTCGTGTGGGGGTATTTGTAAAAGTGGATGATCTTGTGCCCTAGATCCCATTGAAGCATGTTCCCATAAAACACTCTCTTATGATTGGCTGCAGTTATCCTAATCCATGGAGTACTCGTCATATTCACTTTGCCTACTAATGGACAGTTTCCGCTTGACTAGCCAGTGAACATTCGCATAAAAAGAGGCTTCCTCTCGTTTCCGGATCCCAAGCAGTCAGAAAGGGATAGGGAAGCAAATTTCGTTTTGAATTCTAGCGTCATCAGTTTCATCCTTACCCAATCCCAATCACTCAGAAATACCTTCTTAGTTTTTGTCGAGTTATATCAAGTGTTGGCCACCCAAAGTAATGAATAGATCAGTACTACGATAATGTATATAATGCCTGTGGCTAGTTCCTGATGAGAAAGCCGTCGTATTCGTCAAATAGTTTCTTCCTTTTATGCTTGACTGTTGACATAGGTGTCATCGAATTCGACTAATGTTGACTTTGGTCGATCACAATTCAACCCAAGCTCATTAGGAAATCATTTTTTGTTTGTTTTCTCTTTCATATACCTTTGCCAAAGGAATAATACTACCGCGGTCAGCTTTATTTTTCTTATATTCTCAGATTGCCTAAAATTCCTTGTGAGCCGCTGTCTAACTTCGTAGACCTTGAATTGGATCTCCTGCGCGGGCCATGTATAGAACCACAAAATTTTTTAAGAACGCATACTGTTTGCTCGTATAATTAGAACGAATTTTATGTAAAGTGAGTCAATGTGCCCATGGGCACTGACCTACGCTTCTATTGCTTGATAGCATAATAAATTTAAACTTATTAAGCTTAGAGTTGCAGATAATTTGTGCTTGCCATAGCTTGCTGAATCGTAATCATGGTCGATGAAAAGGATGATATAATAATTATAGATGAGGTTTGAACCTTTGAAACTTACTTTTCATTCAAATCAGTCTTTTGATGTCATGAAATTGTTTACAGGTTACCGGTGGAAAAGGGAATGTTATCAACGGAACCGATACTAAAGGTGACAGTGAATCGGGCAAAGACGGCGCTGAGGTTAATAGTGACAAAGCATGGGTGCCATCTGTGAGCACTACTGAAAGAGTTTGTTTCTTTGTGCGCCAGTGTGGCTCCCGTTTTTTACTATGCAAAAGTTTCAGCAAAAAATATTACTCTATAGTACAGTGGACATAGACCAGTTCAATTTAACCCTTTTGCTTGCGCAGATTTCCATCCGTCTCCAGCAGCCTATAGTAGTCAATTAAATCTAGAAGTACCGGTCGTGAAGTCTTGTCAACTTTTGCTAGCATTCACTGTCCTCTGCTGGCACTATATCATCGCCATATTCCTCGTTTCTGCTCCACATGCGGCCTTGTCGTGGTGGTTTAAACATGGTCATAAGGATACCCAAAAGCCATCAATGTCAGTAAGCAATAGGTGACACAACTGAAATGAGATGCATTTGCATAGTTGTAGCGTGAAAATACTCAGCAAAAATTTTTCGCAGTTATGGTTGATAAAGTGTTAAAATTTTTCTTCAAGTTGAAGCTGTCGACGACAGGGCGCCGTTACGGTGCTATAAGAATTATCAAGATGATTACATTGATTTGAGTGAATAAGGATCGATCCCCTTCGACTGGGTGGACCTTACATTTCCCTTGGTTGTTAGGAGGAGGGCTACGCAGTTAAGGTCAGGCCCATTAATCTTACCAGGGAAGGATCCCAACTCGAAGTGGCCATTTGAAATAAGACCTATACTGCTAGCCGTGTTTTTGAGCGCTGAATTCAAATCCGCTTTTCAAATCTGCCAAGCGATTCTCTGAACGGAGTTATGAGGGTGGTTTTAGGTGACATTACATGAGAAAACTTGAATTACATGGA